AAAAAAAAAAAAAAAAAAAAAAGATCTATAGGTTTTATACTTACAGCTATCATCTTCCTCCAAAAAAACTTTACTTAGATAAATACCACCAACTATTGCAATAAACTGGAATAAAAGAAAAGTATTATTTTAAATGTGTTTATAATTAATACATGATAAATTATGATATGGTAAATTGTAAAAATTAATAACTTACACCTAAGATGCATTGAGTAGATGCGTGTAAAATTTCAACTATTTCATAATCTAGTACACAATCTGTTACATTTGTTGGTCGGGCAGGTCGAAATAATTCTGGTTCAGTAACATCATAAATAGCTTTGCAACCTGGTCCATTGACATGCCACCAAGAAAAACTACCAGTACCAAGATTTAAAATATCACTATTCTGAAAGATTAATTATATATAATATAATTAAAAATTGATTCAAATTATAAAAAAAGGAAAAAAAATTATATAAAAAATTAATACTTACTTTATCCAATACACCTACATTAAGATAGAAACATATCATAAATATATTCCATCCCAACCACAGTGTATTCCATATACAGTACTGAAATAAGTTTAATATAAAGATAATTATCCTTTTATTATTAATTATTTATTACAAGATATTAAAATAAAATTGCACTTACAGATATAATATATTTTGGTCTATATTGAAAAGCCCCAAAAAATCCTAAGATTACAAATATAATGTTAAAGAAATTGACCAGTATCGGGGCCCACATAAAGCCCAGAAAGTCGAAGACCTGACGTTCTACTGTAGTGATCTACAAACAAAAATTAACAATTCTACTTAAATTTAATAAATCATTAAAATAACTAAAAATATCTTAATATTAATCTCTTTAATTTCTGTTAACTCTATTTTGCCTGTGTTCTTAATCTATATCAATTACTCTGTGTTCTAAATACCCAATTAATCTGATGCTCCAAATATGAATGTTCATGAACTATTTCACTATTTTGCTTGCTTTTAAGTAAAAAACTTATTTTAAAATATAATAATGATCCATTATTTCGATTATTTAAATTTTCAATTTATTAAAGCCAAATTAATAAAAATGATTACTCAATAACATTGAATCTACAAATTTTATTAATGTATTGTGTTTGCATCTATTGCATTTCATTTCTTATCTATTGAATTTTTTAATTTGCAAAAAACATCTTCGTAATGCAATGTAGAATTCTATCGACGCCAATCGACAAGAAAGCGCTTAGAAAGTAAATAGTAAAAGCGGTGTTAAATAGATTGCCCAGTTTCTATTCGAGGATCTCTATTTTACAGAGATAAACCACGCGACCCATGGATCGATAAAGCGATGCGATAATCGAGCAAGTATAATTGTTTCATCGAGGTCCGATATCGTCGATAAAATCGTTCAAATCGTACGGTTCGTTTACGCGTAACAAACCGCAATGCAATATATTTTAATTCTTAAAAAATATTTAATAATTAAAATCTTTCCAGCAACTAAATCTTTTCGTGAGAATATCAAGCTATGAGTCAGCGCAAGAAAAATGAGAATTGAGCGTGTCACAGGATGATGACAATTTCCTTTATCGGGAAATAAAACATTTTTCTTTCGATGACACTCACGAGTTGTAAGATGCATATTGTCAATAGGAAATGCCTTCGATTACAAATTCCCATGTCATTTGGCCAGACGGATTTTTAGCGTGCGAGGCCACGGTTTCTTTGGTCACTTGATACGAACGATCTCGTTGCGCGTTAACTGCATCACTGTGGCATGTTCTAATGCGCCGCCATATTCCCACGACACTTGTTCCGTCCCTTTCTCACGACCGACTGGTGCAAGTGACATGCACCATACTGCACAGTGCTGCTCGCAGTAACGGTGACAAAGACGATAATGATGTAGCGGCAATTTCAAATTCAAAAGAAAAATTTAATTATCCTTTTCAAGCTGGATGTTAATTGTCAATATCAAATATTAAAATCTTGTTCAATGACTTATAACATGAATATTTTACGAGAAGTAATAGATAATTTTTATACAAATCTAACAAGATTTGTTTTATTTTAACGATATTAGAAATATAGATTTTTATTGTTTTTATATTTTACTGAAAGTAAAATAAAAAAAAGTAATAATTTAAATAATAATTTTGCAAAAAAATTCATTATAAATTAAAATTATTTAGTTTATAGTTCAGTTTCATATCTATTTCTATTCGAAATATGTTTATCTATATATTATAATAAACTCATGTATTATTTATATATTTTTATATTATCTTCAAAGCTATAAATATTTCTTATAATATAGACAAAATTTAGAAATTTGCATTCGTATTCGCTCGGCTTGTATCGAACTGTCGAGTAAATATCCCCTCTCCAATTCGATAGTCGATATCAAAACAAAATCGCAATCCGCGTGTTATTCCACTGACGAAAGTCGCAGATATAAGACGTATATTGTATAAGCTATTTTATGCGTAGTACGTATTATTTTTATATTTATTTTATATATTATTTTTATATATTGTTCTTATATTGTTTAATTAATAATTTTATTCAATAAGTTTTTCGAACATACCATAATTGATAATTCTTTAGCAATTAACTTATTTTTTTTTCTTTTTTTTTTCACTCATCTATTTGATTGTTAGAATGATAGATAGTTTACATTCTTGACTTTTAAAAAACAATTTTTAAGTTTGATTATTAATTTTATTTAATGTAATCGATTTTAATATTATTTTAAACATTTATTTTAAAGTTTTATTTATTTTCTTTTTTCATGCAGATTATGCGGTGTATGTATATTTGCTGATTGCTACTATAAAGACAGGAAAAATTAAACCAATAGATCATCTTTTAATGATGTCTCAAATTGTATTTATCTCTAGATAAGATATTTTTTTTTTTAATTAAATTTAATATTAGATTAGATCATTTTTAATTAAGGTAAGGTAAGATTAATTATATATATAAATGCATAATAGAAAAATATCGATCAATATTGTTAAAAAACAATGTTATTTAATTTAATAGTAATAATAAAAATAAATTATAAATGAGTAGTGAAATTTCTGTACATTCATGGTTTTATTATTAAGAATTAATTGATATCTTTTTCTTCTTTTTTTCCTTTGGTTTGATCATCTCCTGCAATATGCATATATATATTATATATGTGTGTTATATATGTATGTATGTAAAAGTATCGTAATACTATCTTATTTACCTATAAAACTTAATAATACTGGTAAAAATATCAAACCATGCGCAGCACCGAAAATTACAATACTTAGATACATTCGGAAAAAGAATACTTCAAAAATTTGAGTTTTAGCAAACGCCAGTATCACGATTCCTATAATTTTGGTCAATGTAATTCCGGAGAATACCTATAACGAAAAAAAAAAAAAAGAATATTATTAATTCGAAGATTGAGATTGGCAAATACTAAATACTACGCAAATTATTGTACATACCGAACTTCCTATACGATTAAGCGATTCAGACGCACGTTCAATTTTAGTTTCCTTCTTTGATTTTAAATACGAATGTATAATGTGACTGCAAAATTCCACAGATATACCAACAGACTATAAGTGTAAAATTGAAATTTTAATCGAATTTAATTCTTTATTTTTTTTTATGTAATTCATTATTAGCAAATAAGCGCTATATAAATATATATATATATTCTTGTGTTACCATACCACGACTAAATTGACAAGAGAAACTGCATTTAATTCTATATGCCACCAATACATAAGTCCGCCAATGTTTACGATGATCATGCATACTGTCAATAGTACCGTTATAGCCGAAAATAAGGAAAATGTTAGAATCAATGTCACTACGAAAATGACACAAAGGGAGTAACCCAATGAAATTAATGTTTCTGTCCATATCGTAAGATATTGTTCGTAAAACACGTAAAATACACTGTAATAAAAAAAAAACCATAATTTTCATTACATTACAATATATGGATACAATAATGGATAAAGTAGAAAAAATCCAAAAAAATTCGAATTTTACAAAATTAAAGAATAAATATTTCAAAATGTGTGAAAGCATAATAATAAAATATGGACAAACCTATATGGAAATACAGTTACATCCTCGTCTGCCAGATTATTTATCATAGTTGTAATATTATTCGCAATCATTCTGGCAAATCTTAGAGCTTCGTACCAATCCGATGATTTTTTTAACGGAGTATGATATCCCATGAAATAACTGTCTCTGACATCTATTAATCCGTTTTTATCCGTCTTATAATTCAACGCCTACGAGTTTGTAAATGAAACGATTTCAAAAATGTTGATGAGAGAACAAAAGGAATTAGATACATGTGTAATTCCATTGTGAAACAGTTCTAAAATTAAAAGATAAAAATCTTACATCAAAATATGCCGCTCGACCAGCTTTTGCACATCTTTCATCCGGGATATCTTGAAGAAAATAAGGCAGATATTTTCGAAAATCATACGCGGTCGGCCGATTGTAATTTGTAATATTGATTTTACAACTTTCGCATCCTTCGACTACGATAAAATATAATATAATAAATAAATTTTGAAAAAAATTTAAAAATGTTATGAAATATGTGGGAATTGGCGATAATTACATTGCGAGTGTGGACAAAATGATTCGTTTGCTTTAAAATATTTGCAGCAATCGGAAATCTGCGACCAATCTATGTAATCGTCCAACCAAGATGAAGCTGCTTTCGATAAATACGATCTACGATTGGATACAATTTGATTAGCAATGGAATCGAATGAACAATGTTAAAAATTAATTCGTATAAAATATTATACAAACACTGCAGGTTGCTTAGATGCCGAGTAAATTTGAGTATAGAGAGAATTGCTGTTGCACCCTTGACCACCACAAATTATATTTTGTACCGTAGGATTGCTGTAATTCAATCCAGGCGTTACTATAAAATAAACAGGTGGACCCATCGATAGAAGATCATCCATAAACTGGAAAAAGAAATCGATCGATCTTTTATCACGTCATTGCCATTATCGTTATAAAATATCTCTTCGTAAATATCTGTAAGTTATATATACATACGAACACACGTAGTGTAGAACATTACCTCGAAGTATTTCAAAACGTAAGAATCTTCGGGCATCGAAAGTTTTTGCTCCAATCCTACACCAATTTGCGGCACTATTACAATATGCATTATCAGAGAAATGAAGAATATTACCAATACGATTATTCTGACCGGTGTTTTCATAAGAAATGGCGTGTAATAGCGTTCAAAAATCGTATGGACAACATTGAATTTTTGCTTGATTATAAAATTATTTTTCGTTTTCAAGCAACAAAGCACATCGAAATATCTTTTCTGAAATATGAAGTGAATTTCGTTGAAAAATTTGAAAATTTTTTTTTCTTTCTTTTTAGAATAAATACATGTCGAAATCTTACCTCGAATCTTCGCTCGTGAAGTGACAAAAGGCAGACGAAAGCTGTTATTTGCAATAGAAAATTGATCAAGATCGATACCGATGCATAGAGTGCAAAAGTATTTACAGCGGGCATTGTCGATAATGTTCCTAAAAATAAGGATTATAATAGATATTCGATATATGTGAACAATGAATTAAACAATCGAATTATGATTATGAAAATCAAACTATAGATACTGACCAATCAAAAAACACAAACACTCGGATATACTGGTGAGTAACATCGACGGACCAACTTCTCCCAAGATTCTTCCAACGTGTTCGTGTATGGATTCGTCGTCGCATTTTATATTTCTGTCGTACGTGTGAATCAAAATAAAAATATTGTCTACGCCCACAGCCAATACCAAAAATGGAATTACCTGTAATATGTATTATACATACGTATTACACAGAATTTATACAGAAAAAATTATTTTACATTCGATATTTTTCGATACTCACTTCGATGGTGAGGAGTGTCGTTGGCACTCCTACGTAACCAAATATACCAAGAGAGCAGGCAACCGACGCTATTACAATGACAACACCTCCCACGCTCAACATTATTTTGCTATTTGCCTGAAATCGATTATGAGAAATTCGATTCAACTCGAGAAATACATTTTGAATCAAAAAAAACTTACGAAATATTCTTTCACGGAACATTTTATCTCGCTCAGAGCAAAGGACACATATACGAACATTATCACATAACTGATCATCACTGTTATTGCCTCTGCTCTCGATGATCGTTCCAATTCATCTTCGATTGATCTCTCCGTCGTATATGCGACATCCATGAACTTTGGCCTCTCTTTGGCATCCCATTTTTTCATAAAATCAATGAACCTAGAGAAAAGTTTATAGATTGAAATTCGCAATTCATTCAATTTTTCAATTTATGGAATATTATCAATACTATATATTTTGAATCCTTTGGTACTTATTGTAGTTGATGTCATTATCCTAAGTTTTAAAAGAATTTCGAATAAATCAAGCAGTAATATTATTATCAAATCTTGATCACGTGTAATAAAGTAAAGAAAAATTATTATTTAAATCCTTTTTTCGGATATCTTCGATATATTCGAAAAGTTCACAATATTTATTCCTCCAATATAATATTCAATTTATCTTGACATCAGTTACAATTTTAAAATGATGAAAAATATATACTTTTTATTGAATTGAATATTGAATAATTTTCTCTTTTAAATTTTAAAACATCCTATATATTTACCTTTGTTCCCATTTGAGAGCCGATTGGAGGACGGTTTCGTCCAGCGAGTTTTTCACCAGAAATGACAAGATTATACCTGTCGATTTGATGTAATCTTCTGGCGCGTAATTAAATTCACCTTCGCGTAGGAATCCTCCATAAGCAAGCGCAGGAAAAACTGGGCCTTTGTACGGCGCCATACACTCGTTATTGTACTCATTCCTTGAGGAAAGAAAAATGGTGAGTAGTATACGTCAAGAATTTTTTTCTCGCTAGTGATTTTTCACTCGTAACACAAAATAATCAAAAATATTGAG